TAACCATATAACTGTTGTAACTATCTTGTGGTCACTACTTGTTATACCTTCTGCTTCTTCTATATTGGCTTCTTGAAAACTAGCTGCAATTGTTTCTGACAACCAAATATAATCAATTCTTGTTGCTGCTTCTTGATTTGACCATGTATATGTCCTTTCTGTTGGATGCAACTTTTTAAAAGAGTCTGTGAAGTCTTGCCTTTTTAGCTAATTAAAGATTGGCAGTTTTTTATAGTATATTGTTTGTAGATGCAGCCTGTCTAGTATATTGTCCACTGTATGGTTAAAATCTCCAAGTATAATTATTTCTGTATGCTTTTCCTTGTTTGTTACTATTTCCACAATTTTTTGCTATACTTTCTTGCTAATTGCCTTGTCATTTAGTGGGATATATATTCCTATTATTATCAGTACTAGTTGTTCGAAGTATAGTTTTACTTCTATTATATATTCACTATGTCTTTTGACTGCTCTAACATGTTTTTTTCAAATTTTATCTATTAGAATTCTAATGCCTGATCCTTTTTTTTTGTCTAATGCTGCACTCACCCAAAAACCTTTAAATCTTGTGTTAAGGTTATGCAACAAGATCTTTTCTTCTCTTTCTACAATGTTCATTTCCATTATTCCCAAAAATGCTATCTCTTCTTCTTCTGCTCAGCCCAGCAGGTTTTCTAATTTCCAACCTCTGGTCTTGAGTCTGTTAATATTGTAACATGCAATCTTTATTTCTTTTCATTCTTTTTTCCATTTTTCTTTTAGTTGCTTGTATCTTGTTTCTATGTTTTTCACTTTATTCTTTTCTTTTCTTTTCTTTTCTTTCTTTGGATTAGGAGATTCTTCTCTATTTCTTTCTTCAAATATTCTTCTCTTATTATGCAAAAAATTTCTAATCTCCTTATCCATATTCATGAGTTCAACTTGGGTGCCCTTAGGAGTGATTTGCTAGGCCTTCTTTTATTTCTAGCTGAGTATCTTCTAACTGATTAAGTCTGTCTAAGATCTGGCCTAAAACTTCTTCTATCTGTCTTGTTTCTATACGTACTTGTGTATCTAGTTTTGTTTTTTTTCCAATATTTCCATCATTTCTTTCTGCATTAATGTTTTTGACTCCTAACCATTTTTCTATATTCTGTAACTAAGAATCACTTTCTATTTTGATATGTCTTCTATCTGGCACTTGCTTGTTTTTGTCCCAGCTTTCCTTATCTGTAGTATTTCTACCTTCTAACTGCTCTTCTGTATTTTGTCTTTGAAGGTTCCTTCTTTTTTCTGTATATCTTTTGTTTAGATTTCAGCTGGCTCTTTCCTAGCTTCTATCTCTTCCTCCTCTATTTCTTTCTTCTTTTCTTATTTCTTTCTTTCTTTCATTTAGCCAGAATACTTGAAAATTGTTGTATCTAATTGGCTTTGATTGAGCTGCCTTTATCTCTTTTTTTGTTACAAAAGTGATTATTGCTGTTTTTCTTTTATTTCTGTTTCTGTTTGGTGGAATGTATACCAACTTTGCATCTTTGCTTCTTAGGCAGCATAGCAGCAAAACTTCTAAGGCCTTGCTTGGCAGATCTGTTATTTTTGCTATATACTGACTTTGCCTTTGTCTTTTTTCATAATTTTCTTTACCTTCTGTTACTCTTACCAGTTTGTTACTATTAACTGGTATAGACCATGGTATATTACCTTCTTCTGATTCTTCTATTTGTATTATCATAAGAAACTTGTATTTGAATCTCCTAATTTTTGTTATGTATGCTTTCTTGAATCTTCTGCATATATACTCGATTTCTTTTCTGTTTATGTCTGCTAGTAGATTTCAAATTGTTATATATTTATGTTTTTGCATTTCCTCTTCTTCTTTTGTATCTATTTGATCTTCTGTAGATTCTTTTCTACTTCCTTGCTCTTCATATTCCTTTTTCTTAAATTTTAATATATCATTTCTTTTCTTTTGATATTTTTTGTCATATATTTTCTCCTTTCTCTTCCTGTCTATTTTTTCTTCTTCTGTGATCATTCTGTACTAGTCACTTTCTTTTTTGCTAATTCTTTGTATTGCTTCACTTCTGCCATACTTGCAGTCGAACTCTATCTCTATCTATAGATTTCCTTTTTTAAAGACTTCTTTAATGTTTTTGACATGCTCATTATTTTTTAATGACTATCTGATAAAGTTCATGCATTTATCTTTAGTTTTCCCTGGTACATTATATGCACATATGTTTGCAAGTAGGCTGTTGCTTTGATTACAGCCTCTTTTGCTTAGTGCCCATATGCTTTCTTCAAGTGATACTTCAAATACATCAATTTTTCTTTCGATTTCTTGTTTTCTTCTTTTTTTCCTTTCCTTTTCTTCTGATGTTAATCTCTGTCTTGTTTCTTTTTTGTCCATTTCTATGTCTTCTAGTTCTTGATCTCTTTTTTGTTCTTTTTCTTTTTCTTTACAAGAGAATGATGATTTGGTTTCTACTTGGTTATTACTTGTTTGCTTTACCTGCATACTTACTTTCTCTCTTGCAATCTCCATACTTGCTTGTAAACTTTTTTTAACCTTTTCATTCTCTTTTTTTTTTATGTCTCTTCTTTTAATGCTTCTTGTTTTTTCTCTATCTTATTTGTCTGTTGTTGTTCTTTCTTCTTTTCTGTACATATTTTATTTTGATGTTGTTATACAAAATCAAGCTTCTTCCCAGGTTGTTCTTTTTCTGCTTTTTCTAATATCTCTCTTGTTATTCGCAGAAGTGCTACTTCATTTGAATTTTGTTTTGTAAGTGCTGCAATGATATTATCTTCTCTATTTGGTATTGCATATGCCTTACTTGCTTTATTGAAGAAGATTTTATTATGCACACTGTTCATAGCCTCATATGCCCTTCTTGTAAAAATTGTATTAAGGCTCTCTCTATATTCTTCTGGCAAATTTTTGTTCATGTTGCACAACCATTTCTATATACTTTCATGTTATATGTTGTATTTATACTAAACTAGTTTGATGTATATATTTGTTTGTTTACTTTGCCAGACCTATTGAGACTTCTTGTGTAACCTGAAAGATCTATGATACAGGGTATTGGCAGTTCCCCACTTTTTCAAAAGAATTTATTACTTTTTGTCAAAATTTTCTATATGCTGTTTTCTGATGTTGCTCTAGTTTTTCTTCTATATTCTTCTATTAAACTATATGCAATTTTTGCTGTTCTGTCTTTCTTGTTAGTACCTCAAGTTTTGTTTTTTAGTCTAGTTATTGAGTTTTTCTATGTTTTCTTTCCTAGAATTTTTGGTCAAGAGATCTATAAGAGAGAGTTGTTTGAATCTTATTTATATTTCATCTAACAAAAAAATGCTATTTAATACTATATCAGATATATTTTTAAACTTTAACAACCAATTAATTTTATTTCACAAATCTAATAAAATAATTAAATATTTAAAATTTTTTTTTAGATAACAAAGGTTCTACTAAACCTATACTTAAAAAAATCTTTAGCAAAACTTCTTAATTTATTTATACTATACAAAAAACTTTTCTTTATACAAATATCCTAACTATTTAATACTAACTTACCATTTTAATAAAATACTTATTTTTGCAATTTCAAAAAAAAACTCTTTCTCGTAGATCATCAAAACAAACAAAATTAACAAAAACTTGGAAATAGTACTATAAGTTCCTT